TATTTTCAATATGATGTGTAATAAATATGATGTGTGTTTATTCAATATGATGTGTGTTTGTTCAATATGATGTGTGTTTATTCAATATGATGTGTGTATTTAATATGATGTGTGTGTATTCAATATGATGTGTGTGTATTCAATGACGTGTGTGTATTCAATATGATGCGTGTGTATTCCATATGATGCGTGTGTATTTAATATGATGTGTGTGTATTCAATATGATGTGTGTGTATTCAATGACGTGTGTGTATTCAATATGACGTGTGTGTATTTAATATGATGTTTGTGCATTCAATATGATGTGTGTGTATTCAATGTGATGTGTATGTGTTCCATATGATGTGTGTATAGTCAATATGATGTGTGTGTATTCAATATGACGTGTGTGTATTCAATATGATGTTTGTGTATTTAAAATGATGTGTGTGTAGTTAATATGATGTGTTTGTATTCAATATGATGCGTGTGTATTCCATATGATGCGTGTGTATTTAATATGATGTGTGTGTATTCAATATGATGTGTGTGTATTCAATGACGTGTGTGTATTCAATATGATGTGTATGTATTCATTATGATGTGTGTATATTCAATATGATGTGTGCATATTCAATATGATGTGTATATTTTCAATATGATGTGTAATAAATATGATGTGTGTGTATTCAATATCATGCGTGTGTATTTAATATGACATGTGAGTATTTAATATGATGTGTGTGTATTCCATTTGACGTGTATGTATTCAATATGATGTGTGTGTATTCAAGATGATGTGTGTTTATTCAATATGATGTGTGTATATTCAATATTATGTGTGTTTATTTTCAATATGATGTGTAATAAATATGATATGTGTTTATTCAATATGATGTGTGTATTTTCAATATGATGTGTAATAAATATGATGTGTGTGTATTCAATGACGTGTGTGTATTCAATATGACGTATGTGTATTCAATATGATGTGTGTATATTTAATATGATGTGTGTGCATTCAACATGATGTGTGTGTATTCAATGTGATGTGTGTGTGTTCCATATGATGTGTGTGTATTCAATATGATGTGTGTGTATTCAATATGATGTGTGTGTATTTAATATGATGTGTGTGTAGTTAATATGATGTGTGTGTATTCAATATGATGTGTATGTATTCAATATGATGTGTGAATATTCAATATGATGTGTGTATTCAATACGATGTGTATGTATTTAATATGTTGTGTGTATATTTAATATGATATGTGTGTGTATTCAATATGATGTGTGCTTATTCAATATGATGTGTGTATATTCAATATGATGTGTGTGTATTCAATATGATGTGTGTGTATTCAATATGATGTGTGTATTTCAATATGAAGTGTGTGTATTCGATATGATGTGTGTTCAATATGAAGTGTGTGTAATCAACATGATGTGTGTGTCTTCAATATGATGTGTGTGTATTCAATATGATGTGTGTGTATTCAAAATGAGTTGTGTGTATTCAATATGATGTTTGTGTATTCAATATGATGTGTGTGTATTCAATATGATGTGTGTGTATTCCATATGATGTGTGTGTATTCAATATGATGTGTGTGTATTCCATATGATGTGTGTGTATTCAATATGATGTGTGTATATTTAATATGATGTGTGTGTATTTAATATGATGTGTGTGTATTCAATTTGATGTGTTTGTGCAATGGCAAGCGATCGAGTGCACCTGTTTGTGCATGCCAGATGTGAATGTGGTAGAACGAACTCAGGCGTAACACACGGGTGTCTACAGATGGATACATGTATACACGCCGTTGCTGGTCTGTCGTCAGGTCCTAACACCACCAGTACCATAGATCACTGTGGGCTATGACTAGATATACATGCACGTGCTTATGAATGCTAACACCACCAGTACCATAGATCACTGTGGGCTATGACTGGATATACATGCACGTGCTTATGAATGCCAACACCACCAGTACCATAGATCACTGTGGGCTATGACTGGATATTCATGCAAGTGCTTATGAATGCTATCACCACCAGTACCATAGATCACTGTGGGCTATGACTAGATATACATGCACGTGCTTATGAATGCTAACACCACCACTACCATAGATCACTGTGGGCTATGCTAGATATACACGCACGTGCTTATAAATGCTAACACCACTAGCACTATAAACCAGTGTGGCTAAAGTCAAGACATACATGTACCCACTTACCGGTCCTAAACTGCTCGAGTCCAGAAGCACTGGTTGTGGGGGCCCGTCGAAACTATATGCAATGAGTGAGGGCTGAATCATCACCAGGGCGTCCATGGCATCGGCACGGTTCATTCGGTTGCTGATAGTTGTGCATGGATGGATATAAACACAGATGTTAATATGTATATATATATATATATATATATACGCACA